AAATTGTGTTTCTTACCCATACTCTGCAAACCCAAATTAGCTTTTTTTAGTCTCAATCTACATGGGAATTTATTATTATTTTTATTATACCAAACCCTGGGCTGCATCCCAAGCAGCGTGACCAGCAGGTCGAGGGAGGGGATTCTGCCGGATTGCTCCGGTGAGACCCCCCTGCAGTACTTCCTTGAGCTCTGGGGTCCTCAGCACAAGAAGGACATGGACCTGTTGGAGTGGGTCCAGAGGAGGCCATGAAGATGATCCAAGGACTGGAGCACCTCTCCTATGAGGACAGGCTGAGAGAGTTGGGGTTGTTCAGTCTGGAGAAGAGAAGGCTCCAGGGAGACCTTACAGCAGCCTTCCAGTACCTAAAGGGGACTACAAGAAAGCTGGGGAGGGACTTTCTACAAGGGCATGGAGTGACAGGACAAGGGGCAATGGCTTTAAACTGGAAGAGGGAAGATTTAGATCAGATATAAGGAAGAAATTTTTCATGGTGAGGGTGGTGAGGCAGTGGCAGAGGTTGCCCAGAGAAGCTGTGGCTGGCCCCTCCCCGGTAGTGTCCAGGGCCAGGTTGGATGGGGCTGTGGCCAGGTTGGATGGGGCTTTGAGCAACCTGGTCTGGTGGGAGGTGTCCCCTGCCCATGGCAGGGGGGTTGGAACTGGATAAGCTTTAAGATCCCTTCCAACCCAAACCATTCTATGTTTCTATGATTCTATTAATAACTGGAAAAAGAATCTACTTGCTAGCTATGAGATACAGAAAAAACCCGATGTTTATTTCTACCCAATTATAAATATTTCTATAGTATAGTCCTGGGAAGGAGGCCTGCAGAGTTGAATTATCTGCTTCATGCTCCAAAATTAGAATAGAAAGATAAACAGGACACCAAAGCACAGGAAATTCAGCATACAAACAAACAAACAAGAACTTTGTTTCTCAGTTTTGCTTCAATCCCAATGCTGTCCAAATATGTTGCGTGATAACACTGGGAAGAGTGTAATGGCAGGAATCCATAGACTCCGCACAATTTTTTACCAAGAATGTGTATGTATTTGAAACCGAATTGCTATGGATACATTCTCTTTCCATTAAAAAAACTTCTCAAATGCCACTTCAGGAAAGTTGTTCAAGCATGTGCAGTTTTGTCAGAATTTTGAACACTTGCAGCTACATGGTCTGGATATATGTCGGTATAATTCAGTCGTTATGCTCTCGCAACACAGCTCACACTACATAAGTTGACACTGGTGAGGGATTTTAGCATGATGTTGCAAACAACATGTTTTGTTGGTGCTGAGATTGTTGGTTGAGTGCATTCTACTGAGTGAAGAAGTACATACTACGTGGTTGAGTAGTGACAGACACACTTGGAAGACATTAAATAATCTAATACCAAAGTCAGATATTCAAAGCAAAAACCTGCCAAGCGATGGTTGGTTGTATCGTCTCTGAGGGTGGAGGAGGTGACAACAATGAGCCTAACTGCAGCCTCCAGAAAGCGCATTGAAAAAGAGCAAAAGCAGTGGCCTCCACACAACCCTGGTTCTTGACATCCTTGGGTTTGCAGGCACTAGGCTTCACCATGTGGCTGGCGTAAGACTGATCCCACAAAAAATCAATAAACAAAAAAACAAGACAAAAGGCCAAATAAACAATTTTAGTTTACATTTTGGCTTTAATTCTCTGTATTTTCAACTAGGATATGAAAGGCAAAAAATCCCAGATCCTGCTTTTCATATTTTCATGCACCAATGGTAAATGTTTATGTGGGATTTGGTTGTTTGCATTTCCAGCATATTTCAGCCTGATTTATGAAAGTGCACAACACACTCTGAAAGGCTGGGTAAGTCCTGAGAAGCCAAACTCCTCACAACCGTAAAGCATAGAACCAAAAAAAAAGAAATTAGATATTTTAGTTGTGATTAGCAACTAAAAGTATTAAAAATTGAACCAAACTCTTCCTTCTGGAAAGCAGATATGAAATGTCTTTCAACATTTAAATGACATTTTGGTGAGACCTGAAATGTCTCCTGGCTGAGATTCAATCTCTTGGATGAGATTTATGGTTTTGCCTGGTTTAGGATGTATGTCAACGGGAAGGCTTCCAACTGATTTGACAAACCTTTAGATAAGATAGTGTGATTCAATCTTAAATATTGCAAACAAAACACCTTTAACAGCTCTGTATCTTTTGAATTTGGATTTACTTAATCTAGGGAAGTGGAAACTTAAAGGATAAAACATTAATCTTCAACTATGTAAAATGCACCTGAAGAGAAAGGGTGGAAAATTACTCCCCATAGCCAGGAGGGACAGGGCAAGACCTAACGGACTTGGCCGACAGCAGTGAAAGTCGAAGCCTTTTCAACAGTGATGCTAATTTCAGTAGTAAGTCTCACTAAGCATGAGAAGAGATTGCCTAGGTCAGTTAGGGAAATGTCTGCTGGGAAGGTGTTGGGCTGAGGTGGTGGTGCTGAGGGTGCAGAGGGAAGCTCCAGCTGATGTGTTTGTGATGCTCTGGGCGAGCGGCAGTGTCCGCAGCCGAGGAGGAGGTGGCACAGGGGGGGCTGGCATGGAAGATGGAGGCAGCAGCAGGAACCTAGCAGCTCTGTGGGAAACAGGCTGTGGTGTTCAAGGGGACAAGTGCCGCAATGTGGAGCGAGAAGGAGACCAGGGCTACAGCAGGGATCTCAGGAGCAGGAGGTGTGTGTCGTGAGGAGACAGCAGAAATGGCAGGAGAGAAAAGGGCAATGGTAGTTACACTAAAATGATTGGGGAACACCAATAGGGCAACAAGGTTTCTGTGCTCTGTTGCTTCTCAGCTTTGCAAATACTTCTGTCATCAAAGAGGAACCAAGGAATCTTTCAAGGCCTTCTCTGTGAGGTTTGGACGTTGTTTTACCTTTGCTGCTAGATTTAATTTTATTTTTTGCCCACCCTTTACAGTTTAACTCCATTAAAATGCCTTGCTGTAGCCACACACACAGAGATGTGCCCAACGCTCATACAAAACAGAGGTACCTCACACCTTTTCACAGCAGTATGTAGAAGTGTTTCAAAACACAACCGATGGGCAGAAAGTCGAATACTGGAGAGAAAGCTTTCTCTCCAACAACTTGGAGAAGCACACTGGCTGTAGAGGACAGTTATTCCTCACTGGCATGTAGGGGAAGCTCCAGTCACCTTTCCTGAAGTCCTCACCTTTGGTGATGCTGGGGGAACAGCAGCGGATGTGGGACCTGCTTGGATGGGAGAGGATGCTCAGGGACTCAATCAGCCACCTCCTTTGGAGGGAACACAGGGGTGGGGGGAATGTGGACAGACAGGGCCTTGTAAGTCCCCTCAACAATGTGGGTCATTTTGCTTTTGTGTGTGACATGCAGGAGAAAGTAATGGAAACCAAAAGAAAAGGCATTTCTGCATCAAGAATCTGGCTTCCTAGGACCAGATATTTTACGCAAATTTGCATGTGCAGAAAGAAAAAGAATTACCTGATTCCTTTTGAAGCCTACATTAAGATATTTAGAAACTCCCTATGTAGTATTTCAGAAGCAGGGGCTCAGTGCATTGCTTGGTGAATTTTTAATCCAACAGACCACACTCTTCAACACAGCAAAACATTCATTTGTATTTTAATCGTAGAGACATTAGTTTGAAAGACAAAACAGAATTATTGCTTTGTAAACATTCTTTCCTTTGATTTTAAATTACACTGCTCACATAACAGATTACTTTATCTTGGAAACCTCTGTGTTTTATAAATAAGCACAGACCCATTATTATTTCAATGAGAAGTTTAGCATTAAAAGCAATGCTCAAAATAATTAGAATATTGTATAGCCACAATTCCAAATGCCATGGTAAGATCAATTTTTACATTTCCTTTCCAGGCATGACCTATTACTTCTTCCCCAATTAAATCTTCCTCCTTTTTAAAATACCTTGAAATATTTGTTTATACTTCATTCATATTTTCTCTCCAGCTCATGAAATTTTGAGGCATTAGGTAAATGGTCTTAGAAGGATGTGAGAAGAGAATTAAAGAGGAGAAAAACGATAAAATGATTGTACCAAACAACTCGTGACATGAATGTTGAAATTATTTCTTAATTATTTAAGAGGTGTTACGATTACAAAGTTATTCTAAAGCATTGTATCAGGTTAGGATTCACTGTAGTTAAAAATGTCTCAGCTTCTTATAAATGGCACATGTGTGACTGTCATCAATGAAGCATTTTGGCGGCTCATAATATGTGCTGTTGACCCTGTAGTCATTCAGTGGATGATGCTGACCTTTGATCTCACATTATCCCATGCAAAAGTGGTTTCTTCAGTGCAGGTCTGGCAAGAAAACCAGCAAGAACAAAAACGACAACTGCCAGGAATGCAATAGCAGCGACAACCGGTGCGAGGGCATTATTGGCAGCAGCGGGAACTGCCTGGGGAGGAGGCACAGAAAAGTCCAGCCCTGCAAGTGAAGGTGGAGGGGGTTTGATCTCAGTACATTAAAGATCAAGGCACAAAGAGCTGCTGCATCAAAAGGGATGGTTCCCAGATCCGAGTCAGAAATAAGCTAACTTCTTATAGATTCGTTGAATAGGCTTTACAAGGGCAGGGATGACAACTTAAGTCAGCAACCTTCATAAACAGAAGACAACTGAGGGAACTAAATGTTTCTCAAGAAGGCTGGGAGTTTGCTCCCAGCTGGCCATCACGTTACACAAGCAGACTGGAGCTAATCAGTTCAATGGAGTTATAGCACTCAAACGGGTTACACGCTACCTCTCCTTTAGGACAGCCAAAGCAGTTACACTTTTGTACACGCTGGTGAAAACAGGGGGTTTGCAAGATGTTGGAAGAAGAAGAGATTTGTAGACATTTGGGTCAGCCAAAGAATCCCTTACTTTTTATGCCAAAGTGAGCAAAAGCAGATTTCAGTGACAGATGTGACTGTGGTTTCTCTTGAAGCCCGAAGTAGTCTTAGAGAAATGAGATAAATTTATTTGACTTTACCAATATTCCTACTCTGAGCACCCCCTTCTCGAAGCTGAAGTGGTCCGACAACCACATTCACATTTTCCTCGGCAGAACTTGTTTGTCTCTTGGATCTGCTAATACAGCCCCGGTAGCAGCGGGAGGAATAGTCATGGAGCCTGCACACCGCCAGCTCACACTGCAGGTAGACTGACGTGTGGCGGCGAATGAACTCAAAGGCATTAAATTTGAATCGAGCAATGTGACTGTCAGGGGAGTAGTATGTGGCATAGGAAGAATCTCTAACACATCTAGAAAGAAACAAAAAAAAAAATTAGTCTTCTTCATGGATACACGCATGTTCATTCCTGCAAAAATGTAATAGCTTAAAACAAAATTATATCATAGCCATGTACTAAGAACACAATGGGATAAAAATGCAATATTTAGCATCCAGGATGATAGATTCCTGCTGCCAGTTTTCACTGTCTCATCTCATTTGCTTCACTACCCCTGCTTTGAATTTTGCATATAGGACAAGGACTCACACTGTAAAAATAAAACATCAAAGACTCTTTTTAACAGTCTGTTGATAACGAAATCTAAACCAATTCAGATTGGCTCTATTCTTTTAAATAAATGCTGAAAAGGTGTTACAGCTGTGCTTCTAACAACTTGCTCTTACCCGTTCTTGATTATATCATAGGCCAGAGTGTTAAAATCATGAGGATCGGGAGATGCCACACACGTGTCCACAAACACGATCAGATTTGAGTCTGAGCTGTGAAGATAAGCTTCAAGGTACAAATTTTGGTTCAAGTCAATGTAGTATGGAGAGTCGTGCACTTGCCGCAAGAATGATGAGGAATCATAAAAAGTGATGTTCATGTCATATCTTCCAAACTGATTTTCATTCACATCTACAGTATCCTCAGCAACATACATTATTTGCATCCATGTGTTCTGTAGCATTTTGCAACTGATATGTAAGTGAATATTCTTTTTCCTCTTGATTATGTACCCAGAAGATGTAATCTTGATCATGTTGGAATAGTTGATTGTATCATTGTTCTCCTGTTTAACATGTAATTTAAAATGAGGATTTTCATCATGGTCCGTGTTCTAAGCTTTGATACAGTAATATGCAATTTAAAAATGTAAATTCATCTTAAACTCTTTAACCCAAGAAGCTTGATGTCAGTCTTTTCTGCTCACACACTGTAAATAAACTTGTTGAAGTATGTAATTAAACAGATATCAGTGGAGAAAAACTCTTTGTTAAATCCAAGGCAGAACGAACTCGTTGAACATCTATATGAAACACCAATCGTGTAGTATACAGTCAGCCCAAACCTGCATGACACTTACAAGACTGCATCTACTTCAAATCACAGAAAGTTCCTATGACTTCCTTCCACGCTTTCCTCCCTAGATGCTTATTTCTGTTAAGCATAGAGATTCCCTAAGGCATGGAAAGCTAAACCAGTAAAAACTTCGGGGTCTCGTTGGTTCGTTTTTTAGCACTATGGACCACAACGGCCCTTTCATGGTTTTTCAAAGTGGGTCCTGCAATTCAGTGAGCACAACGGTGAGCGTACCTCTCGTATCGTCCCACAGCCGTTGTAGGGAATGTTGAATATAACCTCGTGTGACGTGACTGTTGGTCTACAGCGATTGTCGTTCAGGGTGACCAACTGTGCCGAGTAGCCTTGAGACTGGAGATAGTCTCTGCTAACCACTGCATGCATGTAGTCTGGCAAGCACAGAAGGGCTGGTAGAAGAAGATACGATATATTAGGGACTTCAGGAATGTGTTAATGATTAAAGTTGTAATTGAACCAAATGTTGTTTTTTTCTTCATTTAGAAGGTAAGCAGTTCACACACCAACCCATCGTATTTCACATGCATCATTTCATTTCCCTAACATCTTTAAATATACACAAATAATTATTTTGCAAACAAAAGCAATAAACAGGCTTGTCCGTTGAGTAACGGACAACGAACCGGGAACTTACTAGTGTTGTGATCTGCTGGAATGGAGGAGTAGTGAGCCTGAAACCCTCTGAAGGTATATCTAGAATCACTGTGAAAGCGAACAGTCATCATGTTTGAAGAGGATATGTACGTGGGAAAGGAACCAGAACAAAGTCTCCCAAGAAGCGGGGAAGAGTGTGGAGGCCCGTCATAGACTTCAACGTAGTCATACTGGCATCTGCTGCTTCGCATCCTGGTGAACAAACGTCAGCACCTTGTCAAATGCCTTTCAGAAACTGTGATTTAATTGTCTAACGTGTGATAAAATCTTTCAGCACTTAAAGTTTTCATGGCAGAGGTTTTAATCACTTTGTATGTAACCATAGCAGAAAAAAGTGAGCAGAAAATACTACAGGAATCTGGATTTTGTTCTAGTTTTCCAACTTCTGGATGTTATTAAAAGTATCTTTAAAATTAGGAAGGTTGCCTGTTTGAAGTAAGTTTTCAAACTTCTCAAGTAAGTTTTGACTTTTTTATTTGCCCAGGAAATCAATGTTTTACTTACGCAATATCTCTAAACGTGAGCATAACACGGAAATTGTTCTCTACTTGTATTTCCCACACACAGTCAATGTTGTTTGGATAATTTCCAGGGTAGAAGGGACTCTGCAGCATCCCAGAGGAATTTGAGATTGAACCACCACAAAAATAAGGTGCTGCAGAAAGAAATGGAAGAGAATTTACTTACAGTAACCTCTACAAAATTGTACTTGAGCAGTACGTGTCTCATCCGCAGCTGCTGAAAAGCAGATCTCCTGCTGACTGCAAGTGACATTCTGTATGACCCAAATCAAAACAAATATTTGCTTTTGCTTTAGGTTTTGCTTTCATGTTGGATTCAGGATTCCCTGTCACATCCATGATGGCAGCCCACCCTCTCCAGGCTGGGCTGGTAACACCTTGATTCTTTCTGCTCTGGTCTCTTCTTTCTGCAGTGGACATCTGGTTCTGGGAGATGTCATGACGGTCAAAATGGAAGCACCTTCCTGAACAGACAGCATTCCCTTGGTTACTCTGCTGTTTCTCTTTATTCCCCTAAGGACTTTGGAGAATAGGTAAGTTGCAAGTCTTCTAGGAAACTCTGTAATTTTATGGTCTCAGACTGAAATAAGCACTCCAGGTTGCTGGGCCAAGTCTTAAATATATCTCATTTCTCCTAAAAGCGTAACTGCAAAAAGCTTTCATGTTCCTGCAAGCATGAATTCTTATGTTAAACACACAGATAATCCTACAAGTTTCCTTATAGGAAGACGAACACGAGCTCTGAACTTAATTCCCGCAAGACGTGAAACGTAAAGGCAACAACCCTCCGTTTTATATTCCTGCACAGGGACACCCCCACTGCAGCACACTCCTCCCTGTCTCAGGATTTTGGGATTCCTGGGCTATTCCAAGCTTGGGAGCATCAGCTGTACCCAGACACTGCCCCTTCCTCTAATCAGACTGGACGAACTCTCAGGCACCTTCACTTTCATACTATTTTCTACTGTGAATGGTCAAGCTCTAAATCTAAAATATACTTTCTAAGGCAAAAATAGCAGGCTGAAGATCATAACAGCTCTAGGAAGCAGAAGACCCCAAAATTACACATTGTAATACTTGAACACCACCCTGCCAGTACTGATGTATGCGGTTAACAGTTAGAGATTTAAACAGCACTTCCTAAGCCTTGACCCGGCTGAAGAGCCCAGTGGGGAAATGGCTTGCCCACAGCCAACCAGCATAAATGCAAAATAAGCATCACAGAAATGCAAGAGCATATCACAGCCCGTCTGAGAATTATCATGCAAGTTTCAAGTGATAATGCCATAGAAACAAAAATAAAATTAAAAAAAGCCCAACAGAGACACTGCCCACAAATACAAAAGGTGAGAAGAGTCACAGAAGAGCATTACCTGACGAAGGGGTCGGGGTGGCCGGAGGAGCTGTGGGTTTGGAGGAAGAAGAGCCATAAGTGAGACGTGTTGCTCAGGTGAAAGGTGCTGGGGAATATACATGACCCCAACTTGGGGCATAGGGTAACACTACAAGGATCATAGCAAGGAGGGGATGGGGACATGGAGGGGTCCAGCACAGAGCGCCATGAGCTCCACAGGAGCCTCTGCTGCCCATTGACCTGCACAGATGACGCTGGCATCCTCCGAGTGCCCGCAGTTGTGCATGCCCCAGCCGTTGTGCCTGCACATCTGGA